TGATGATCCTGATAGGTCCCTTCAAACTCCACATATTCTGTCAGAGGTTCATGACTCTCCTGTGTTTAGAAATCTGATCTGAAAATTAGTCACAGAAAGTCACCCTCAATCCCCATTAATTAAGGCAATTATGTAAAAAGTTATTAATCTCTTTCTGAGAAGTGTGCTGAAGCTTAATTGACTAAGTTTTAATGATTTGAGAATTTTACTTTAAAGATGTAGAAGTTTGATGTCTTATACAATCATTCCTCCAGCATTTACAGGTAAAAGATAAAAGTTGAGAACACAGCTTTTTGTATTACTCATGGTTTTTAAGTTTTCAGCTTTTGCCACAAAGAAAGTAGATCTATTTCATTGTACAAATAGGAAGGAGATGGAGATATGATTATTATCTTTATTAAGTTGCTTAAGACAAAAAGCTGGGTTGCTTAGAGGGAAAAGGCCTGGGATTTCATCACAGAAGAACAATTGGGATTTAATTTGCAATCCACAGTTGAGTTAGGTGCACAATAGCTTGCTCTACCTGATGATAAAGGAAAATTATTTACCAGCTATCAAAGGGATACCTGCCTTTGACAGGACAGTACTTTTCATACATATACATTACATTTTGTTGTTCTCCAAGTTTGAGTCAATCTCAATAGAGGGTATTTGGCAAGCTGTAGTCCCAAGGTACATCTAAATATCAGTTTTATTTGTCAGTTGTAACTATTTTATTGTGACTTTAAATGCTTAAACTGGAGAATGTGGAATAAGACACTCATATGTATATCATATTGAAATTATGTCACTTAGGAAGTAAGTGAAAAGGATTCACATAGTGAATGGATGTCAAGGATACTGGACAAACAATAGCAGTATTGATAACAATAAACTGTTAACAATCTAAAGTTTCCACCCCTTTGCTGTTACCAAACTGTTTGGAAAGGAATAGGTCACTGAAGAATGGGTAGACTTGAATATACATATTTACTTGTACTTAAACACTAACAGTATTTCACAAAACTTGATGCCTGTATTGGTGACATATAATAAAGGAAATGTCTTCCTAATTTTTCTTCTTAGGCGCCTAGATGTGGGGTTGCAGACTTGTGGATTTTCTTTTACTGAGACACAGAAGTTAAATATCTATGTCAATTTTTTTCTCAACAAGTGGGAAAAAGAGAAAACACTGTGCCTTAATCTCAATAGACTAATGGTGAGAAATTCACCCAGGTTAAGGTAAAATCATATCTCCTTGGAAGGAGCATACTTTGCTCCTTTCCCTTCAAAATCCACATGAATACTCACTCTGCCAATCTAAGCATGGATGATTGGTTAGGATTTATTCTACCTTTTGTTCTGAAGGTGAAATGATTCCCCTTTGCATGGAATAATTTAATATCAACTGTACCAATTAAGAGAAATAACATCACGACCTAGCAAAATCTGAGTATCGTTCCTCCACACTGAGGAACAGTGAATTCTGTCTTTGCTCATAAATATTTAATATGAAATGTTTAAACATGTAATTGTCTCCTTCTTATATAAGGAATGTGTTATATGTTGAAGAGTCAAAAATATTTGGATAACCTGCTAAGGAGTGCTGTTTTGTGATTAAAGGATTGAATTTGGTTTCATGAGGTCTACTTTCAAGTCTCAGGTCCTCTCTATTTGAGTAGGGGCTCTGCACATGACCATTCATTTTCAGTCTGTCTTGCAAACTAAAAGTTTCACTTCCAGAAATCACAGAGAATAGAAAAGATTTGTATGTGTGTATATTATCATTTATCTACTCTCAAGTCTCATTTTATATGGGGTAAAAACAAATCCCTATATAACAATACAGCTGCAGTTTCAGTGACAACTTTTCCCAATCTTCAAGAAATCACCTTATCCAGGTTCTCAACTGTTACCACTTTGTAGGGCAAACAACTTCTCTTGTTACATGTGAAGTATTTTGCATGAAATTGCATGGTATATGATCCAGACCATTGTTTGAACCAGCAGGGGCTAGTGTTGTATGAAAAAGAAGGCCAGGCTCGACCACCAAGAAAATAAAGTTCTTGCCATTTGATTTTTTTTGTTGTTGCCCTTCTGAAAGACAATGCTCTCAGCTGAGTTCACAATAACTCTTCGGCACATCAGAAAACCACAGATGTGTTCTACTGTAATTCTGGATGAGCTTTTCTCACAAAGAGGTCAGGAGCCAAAAGGACATAAGTGTTCTCAGGCCTTGAAAGTACTCCTCAAGGCAAGAGGCAGGCATGCTAGGGGATCTGTCTGTACTGCTCTTATATATTGGCAAGGAGGCTTTCATCTCCAAGGCTGATAATCCCATACAGAAACTCCCTGATTCCCATAGCTAATTCTCCATGACTTCAAAATGGCCCAGAATTTTACTTTCTAGTTTTAGTTAAGATTGTCAATGGGTTATAACTTCTGAAAATAAAAGAAACTGCACATTATAGAGTGCTGTTCTAGCCTTCAACTTTCTATGTCTTCAACTTTCTATGTCATTCTATTGAGTTTTTTTTCCATCATATCATTGCCAATAAATAAAATACTAAAAATTATAAAAAGAAAAGGAGTCTTCTAGGAGTTTAATATACATTAGGCAAGAGGTGATAAAAAAATCAGAAGTAGCACATGACAACTTCTAGCTTTACACAACTTGTAAGGAGTCAGCTCTGATGACTGCCATCGTATTACTTTGCATGAAAGGTAAAATAAATTTTTGCCAGCTGTTACCCTAGAAAATAGATGAACACTTGAAATACATGAAAAAAGGCAAATTGTAAAAACACACACATATGTTCACTTGTATTTCTTAGCTACTTTCAATCCATCTACTTATCATTCGACTATTCATATGCAACTGCACTTAGTATACAGTAGCTTCCTAGCTCATAAAATATTGATTCAGGTTTTTTATGGTATATCTTTCTTGAACTTTGATCTTTCATACTTACTGCTCCCTTGATAAAATATTTAGAAGTACATTTTCCATGTGAAAGGTAAATTTAGAGTTTTTTATGGTGCCCTCTGTTAATGTACTAGCTTCCTCCAACATGAGACCCAAGCTGAACTCTATCGTGGTCACCTTTAGTTGATCATTGCATTTGCAAAAATTTTCCATTCCAAAGCAACTTTTATTTTAAGGTAAAGGTTATTTATTTTTGACCTGATTGGAATGGTTTACAACACTTTCTCACTAGGTACATTTAGAGAGACTTGGGAAGATACATCCAAAGAACTAACTTTAATAGTTACTTCCCACCAGATAAAAATTTATAAACTATATGATAAAACAAAACTCCCAACTTAAAAAAAACAACCAACCAACTAAACAAACAAAATCAACCAAAAAACCCTCAAAAAACCTACAGAAAAAACATCCTACATATATTTATAAACACTGAATGCTATTGAGTAATTTTGTCAAAGCAAGCAAAACTACTGTAATAACTCCTCTACAAATTTCATCAATAAGAAAAAAAACGTTCTCTTGAGGTTGAGAACTGATGAAGCCTCAGTTCATAGCTCTTTCAACATACAGAAATGAATTTGGCATACAAGAACAAGCAAGGTGCAGCTAAAGTTTTTGCAGGGTCTGGAGGACTCACAAGGGGTCTGTCTGCCATAGTTCCTCTGATAGTTGAAAGTTACTTATCTCCACCTAGACACTAACTTTCACAAAGCTTGTAGGAACTCAGTTAATTTTGAGACCTTTATCTCCTTGTAGTATTTGGTGAAAAACAATTTTGGCTGAAGGTTGACAAGATTCTTAGGAATAGAGGCGCAGGGTGGCAGACAGACATACATGTATGCAGAGCAAGAATAAACACCTGCTCCTGTTATAGTATAGCTGTATAAATTAGGATATGATACTAAAATCAGTGGAGTGGTAGGTACTTAAGAAAATGGACAATGACTATTAGGAGAATCCATCCTGTTCTCTACAGGATTGTTTTGTATTTCAAAAGTACGACTTGGGATTCTTCCCAAAGAGGTGGGACATCAATAGGCCAATGGAAGTTCATTCACACCAAGGCATGTAGCATGGGCAACGAACAGGAGGAGCTGGAAACTGTGCAGCTGGAAAACTATGATTAGTTGAAATAATGGAAAGTGTTAGTTTTGCAGCTGGACTCGATCTTAATGTTCTTTTCAAACCTAAGTAATTCTATGATTATATATTGCTTATTTTGAATGTGCTGTGCACAGTTCTTGATTAAGACAAACTGTTTGGATAGATAGAAGTGAAGAAGCAGAGAAACAGTCTAGAGATTTTCTCACTCTAAATTTTAAATTCACAAAATTTTGTGTTTAGGGGATATTGCTATGGGGAGAAATTTCCATATAAAGCATGCTGAATATTTTCAATAGGAAATTATTTTTTTAAATTAGAAAAGTAATGGATTCAAGTACTCCAAAAGTATTGGAGTTAGTGTTGTTATTGAGATGCAGAACCAAGATTTAGTTTAATTTTTTAAATATTATTTGCTGCATGACTCTCCGTCCAAGCATTATCTAGGGAAATAATAAAAACTGTATCCCCAAATACAGAATTTCATGGAAATGAAATGATCAAACTTTAAAAGATAGCCTTCAAAGTAAAGCACATCTACCAGCCACCTAGCCATGTATTTAATTCAAAGTATTTTTATATTTTGATAACCTAAACTAATTTTTCACACAATGTGTGAAACATCTTTGTTTATTTTGCTGAGACAGCTGGAATGTTAAAAGATCATTTAAACTTGTGCCATACAATCATTTTGGTAGAAGAAAAGTTGATATCTCAGGCAAAAGCTGAAGACATAGCTTTTATATGTCATTTATATTCTATATGTGTTTCTTATGACTACAACAAAAAACCTTTTGTCGTAGACCTTTAAAAAAACCCCAAACTAATCAAAGTTTCATTCTGCGTTTTTGTTCTCTTTATCAGTTTCCAAGGTAAGAAAGTTTTGATGCAGAAACAATACACAATACAGAAACACAGAGAACTATCTTACCTTCTGGCTCCCTGATCTTACGTCCTGCTGCAGATTTTCGTAGCACACTCCTTCCTGAGTTGAACAAGCTAGTTAACTCATCAAGGGGACTGGTCAATGACCTTGAGTTTGCAGGGTTGTATGCAAATGAAGACGATGAATTTGAGTTCAATTTCCTGTGATCTGCTCTTGCCAACTTTGGGGAGTAAGGCAGTTTGGAGAATGGAGAAGATGAGCATCCAAGCTGAGCAGGATTGGTTCTCTGAGGTACTTTTGACAGATCTGAATTTGTACCTGTTTTCCCTGCATTAATCAGAAAACTAGCACAAGTCTCTGGAGGAGATGCAAAATGTGTGGAAGCCCGGTAGGAAGCTGGAGGTGGTACAGGAGGAGGTGGTGGTGGCAGTGGAGGAGGTGGTGTGGAAGGAGGAGTCACTTTGGTGGAAACACTGAACACAATCAAGCCTGGAGATACTGGTCTTTCATTCTCCCCTTTCTGGCCTTTGGAGTACTGGGGTGATATTGGACTTGAACCTTCTGACTGCACAGGGTATTTTAGGTTGGTTTCCAAAACAGGAAGCTTTTTGACCTCCAGTGGTGTTAAAGGTGATTCATCAGAAGCAGGTGAACATGTGACAGGGGTTGGAGGGAATACAAGAAGTGGTGGTCTGTGGGGGAGCAAGTTGGGGAAAGGGGCTGGAATGTCACATGAATCTTTATAGATCAAAGCTGCTTGACTGCTTCCATCCAATGTTCCATCTTCAATGTTAATATTTTTTTTGCTTTCAAACAACAGAGGAGGAGATCCAGTCACCACTGGAATTATTCCATTACCATTGCTTCCTTCTTCTGGCAGAAAATACTTCATTTCTTCATATACAGACTCTCCTTGTTCTGGACTCTCTGCTTCAGCAGAACTGCTTTTCACAGCATTCCCTACCATTTCAATATAGACAGGCTCATTTTCCTCCTCTCCTTGTGACATAAAGAGATTCAGAACGCCATGTTGTGGTCCATCAGTAGAAGCTGCTCTTTGTACTGCCACGGTGTCATAGACACCTGGTTTAACTACTGTGCTTGCTTTTTTTACATCCCCAGGCTTTTGGCCAGGTATTTCTTCGTAAGAGCCACTAAGTTTTGTATTTGGACTTCGCTTTGGTTTTCTGGGAGGTATTTTTTTCATGGTACTATAGTCATCACTGTGTGGTCTTGGACGGGTCAGTACTAGGAAAGTGAAAAAGGTCTGTGTTATTACCAAGTTAAAGTCAGTTTTTTCTTACACTGGTCTAGTACTTTAGCCCTCAAATGTTGTCCATTTAGTTCTACAATAAGCAGCAGTCACAATCACAGGACTCCAAGCAAAAGTGTAAATACTTCTAGGAATAAAATACAGAATTTTCAGCTACCCAACCACAGGCTTTTGCTACCTGAGCATATAATCTGCTTTGGTAATCTCTACTGCCAGTAAAAGATGAGAACTCGCACCTCAGAAAGTATATCTTGAATCCAAATGTGCACTGCAAGATCTGTAACACATGGAAATATGTGCTTGTTTTTCCTTTGCTCCAAGAGAGAGGGGCATGCTTTCAACTAGGAGTCAGCACAGTGCTACTTTGACAAATATGTGATTGTCAGTAAACGAAATGCCCCTCTTTTATGTAATATCTCTAAATCTCTAATTATAGGATGATATTATGCCCCTCTCTTCTTTGGTACTGCAGGTGTGGAAATAATTTATAACTTTAGGGAGTCCCATAGCCTAAGGGCAAATCCCCAAGTGAGTGTACATTTAACTAAACTAGATGTCTCTTTATAGCCTCCAGGCATGTATGGAGTGAAGAGACTAGATACCTAGATGATTAGTCTTTTAAGATCAAAATTAGATCGTATAAATCAGAGTTAGTTTTGGACAAAGATACAAAACAGACATAATTCCTGGAAAATTACTACATGGCAGAGAAACTCACCCTATTGCTTCATACATATAAGAACTCCAAAATTGTTTTGTGAGTATATGTAAGCATTATTGTTAAGACCACACGTACATATATAATTTTTTGTTATTTCAAAACACCTCTTCTAGAACTTCTTGGTTAAATCTCTTGCAGATTTGGATACAGAAAGATTAAATTACTATGGACCTCCTTAAACCATACTAATTTAAAAGTTTGTTGGGTGTAGCTCATGTCTTCTTATAAAGAGCTTGAATGGGCAAGGAAGAGGTTAAGAAAAATGGACTTTCACCTAATGAACTGGACATGAGAACAGTAATTATTTTGAGAGAGGGAGCTGCAAAGATTTCTATCCATTGTATGCAGGACTAGTGAGTTATAGAGAGCTTTAAACCCAGGCTGAAGGATCTTCCTTGATAAACTTTGAGGATCATTTACACAAAACACGATAAGTCAGGCTTATCAAGGAAAGCAGAATGCATTCATTTCTTTCATCTTCTACCCATTCATTTCAAAGGTAAAGGAGAATAAAACAAGTGAACTCTATGCTATGTGCACCCTAATGAACTGAGATACTTTGGGACACTTGCAGCACTTTCCTTCTAAACAAAAATCACTGTAACCAAATTATGGCAAAAAAGATTGGCAAGCAAACACTGAATGCATAAGTTATTAATGTAAGCGTAGAGACAATGTAGGAGAAAGTTTAATGTTTAAGTCAGTGAAATTCAAGATTTGAGCATTCTGTTTTAATGATGTAAGATAGTCTAACAATTTAAAAGGTGAAATAAAATAGTTAGTGGGGTAGAAAATCTCATGTTGACACATTACTTGTTTCTAGAGAGAGTTCTACAAATAGGTTTTGATTTTGTCAAACTGGGCAATTAGAACACATGAGTATTATTTGCTGATTTGGGAATAAATGACAAATTGGCTATTTTTATTTACTGCCACTGAAATATTTCAAGGAAGCAGGACCTCTCAAAGGCATTTGACTGTGTTTAAAAGGATCAAAGTGAGAAGAATAAATCAATAACTCAGAGTAGCATTTGCGACTGTCTCTGCCTTTATGTCTAACCTTCATTAGCTGTTTCCTTAGAAGCTGCCGACAAGCAAGCACTAACAGCCTCGTAGGAGGCACTCAGTCGTGTGTTGGGGTCCCTCTTTGGTTTGGGAGGAGGCTGTTTCCTTGGTGATGGCAGGCTATTGCTGTCGTCCATGCTGAAAACAGAGTGCAGGGAGGGGGATCTGATGGATGACCCAGCCGCAGAATGCACCAAGCCATCCACTGCCATGGGGACGGGGACGGAGCTGGAGTGAAAGTGCTTAGATGTTCGACAGCCGGCAAAGCTGTCCTCAGAGACCTTCCCACCCTTGTCTTCAGCTCTGAAAACACAGAAAAGAGGCCCAGATGCATTATTCAAGCAATAACAATGAACCTGTTCATGCAAATGTAACAACAGCTTTTTGGTAAATAATCTCACAACTCCCCTGCTGTGTCGAGGGGATGTGGGTAGTAATCTTCTGACAAACAAATCCAGATCAAGCTGCTAGCTTTCTTCCATTTCCTGCTTCATGATAAATCAGGACACCGGCCCTTTTTTACACAAATGCAGCCTTGCTTAAGCAGTCTCATGTTGTTGACCAGACATTCACTGAATGAATTGTTCACACTTTGATTGCTACGCACAATCAAAAGTTGGGTTTTTAATCTGAATAATAATTTCTGGGAAATCCATTTTAATAGAAAGTTACTGAGGCAGCAAATGCTGAGCCTTTATCATTATTTTCTAAAAAGACAACTATAAATTCTATTTAGATAATGCAAATCTTTAAAATATTAGGTGACCTTTTTAACCAGCTACATTGGCTGCTTGAGCAATTCCACCCAGTTATCCTTGTCTTCCAGTTTAAACTTAATTATTAATTATTACTTTTAATAATAATTTTTATTATTGTGATGTTATGTTTAGTTGTTTCAATTACAATCCAGTTTTTCAATTTTTCCCTATTTTTTCCTTTGTTATTTGAATACATATTGAGAAATAACCTTCCAGCTGCTCCTGACCAATTGATTTTTAACAAAAATTCTTCAAACATTTTATTCTTCCAAGAATGAAAACATTGAGACCCTTTCAACTCAGAGTAGTAATGTAATAGATAGAAGATGTCTATACTGCCATTTTTCAAACAAATCCCCAAGCATTTGTCTTTTTAAATTGTATTTCTGCATGGCAAATCACCAGCAGAGCTGAAATTCATGCACAGGATATAGCCAGCTGCCCATGTAGCAAATGAAATAGCAAAAGATGAAAGCATGGTGCTCAGTGGATAATTTGTTTTTGCTGTAATGTTTAATTACAGTCTTTCCTACAAAGGCATTTCCTCCAATATGTAATCACTGGGATATTTGAAGCTAATTAAACAGATGCACTGCCATTTTCACTTTTATTAAAGTCACTGACAAAAACAATGATAGCAAAGGGAGTTGTTCTGGATGAAAATTAAGTTCCTATGGAAAAATAAACATTTATATGTCCAGCAAGTTATGGACACATTCTTTCTATTCACACATACTGATTAACTGCTAATGCTAACTCTGCCTACACAGCTGTCTAAGAGAGAAATCAGAGACTCAGTTCCTAGAGAATGGCTCTCCATCATTTACTGGATTTGTAAAATAGATACTCCTGAAAATTTTGATGTGAGTTGAAAAAAAACAACATTTGCCCATTTTTAAATAAAAGCATCCTCCTCACTGTTTCAGTGAGAAATCAAGATTTATTATTCTGGACTTTAATATCTGTTTTTCATTACCTTGGCTATTTCTCAGTGTTGGTATTTTAAGTCAGAGAAATTTTTCCTTGGCTTGTTTGGTCTGATGAAGTTAAACCATAATCTATCATAGAATTAGAAGTATTTCTGCAAAAAATAAGTGTTCAGAGACTTGAATAAGTTCCTCTAAGTTCAGTGCCCCCCCAACAGGATATGGTAGTCTCCTTAAGTTTCTAGAATTAATTACCTGATATACAGGGAAAAGATATGACCTGATATTAATTTGAGATGAGCATATATTTGAGAATCCTCTTGCAATCCTTCCATCATTTCTATTGCTTTCTAAGCAGGGAAAGGAATTCACAAAAACTGAAGAGACTCATTAGTTCTCCACAGGAGGTATTTCTCATCTTACCTTTTCTGGCCTTCTTCTGGCCTGTTTCTAGCCTCTCCCTTGTCCCTGTGGTAAGCAGCGTTCATCTCGTTGCGGAGCCGGTCATTTTCCCGAGCAATGTCAGAGGCATTTTGAATCACCAAGTTGTCATATGTTTTCAATCCCATATCCTCAGCATTCTGCAAGAAGCTTTTGATTGAGGTGACCTCTTGCTGTTTGATGCTCCTCTTCTGCAGCAAGCGCCGGCGAGCTAGAAATCCTCTTACAACTGCCATAGTGGAAGGAGAAAATATGGACCAGTGAAAGACAGCTAATTGGGGAATTAATATCACTGTGGTTTCTGCTGTAAACATGGGCAAGCCAAGTTCAGTTAATATCTTATACAAATTATGAAAGAAATCTGATGGCATAAATAACATAATAAAATGGAGCTCTTTCTGTTTTCTACTGACAGTGCTTAAAACAAAGTAGTGACAGTAAATTATTAAATTTGAGCCATCAGAACTCAAAATGTTTACTTTCACTGAATGCTAGGTTTTATTACATTACAACATAGATGTAATAGAGTGTATACATCTTACATATGCATAATGTAAGATGTATACTACAGATTATGAAAGCATACATTTACACTGCAAAGGCCAAAAGATAGTTTGTTTCAAAATAAAAGCCTGGATAAATTAATTGCAGTGAATGCTGTAGGAATTAAATGACTGCTGGTGGTCAGCTTTAAAAAATGCTTTAAGTGTTTCAATGTACCTAATACCTCATCAAAATCACAAGATTTTTTTTTGTTTGACTTAAAAGACCTTTCACTGCTCATTTCCTTTCAGCTAAAACAATTAGATTAATTAAATGCAAATTTCTCAAATGTATCTGTCACATCATATCTGCACTTTTCAGGTAGAAGTTTTCATCTACATTGCATCAGCTTCATTTATCTATTAGGCTTTTTCTTCACAGTCTTTGTCAGCTTTATGCTGGGAAAAGATTTTAGTGCATCTCCTATAACAGCTTTCTGTAGCACTTTCCTATGTAAGTACATTCATTACAACAAATCCTACCCAAATACCAGCCAGTATCCTGGATTTTCTGAAGTACAGTTGAACAGAAACACACGGCACAGGGGCCTCTGTGCCCATAATAAATTAGGCACCATTTTAATCCCAGCACCTGCAACAGGTGGTGTCAATATTCTCTGAACATATGCTTTGGCTTAGAAGGCAGAAGTATGCTAACTGAAAGCACTGTGTTTGTGTGGCTGTTTATTTTTTAAAGTTCCACATGTTTCCTTCCAGATGTTGAACCACTGCTGGGTATGTCATAGGGAAGAACCTGTTTTAGAATTACTTGTCTGTTGCCTTGAATAGTCTTGATTTTCATCAATTTATATGAATCAAAACCAGGTCAAAATTCATCACTTCTTATGGTTTCTCTCTTTCTCGTCAATTGAAAGCTTTTCATCCATGAAGTTAGCAGACAACAGCCTGGGTAAGGTGTTTGTTTGAGTTTGGGAGAAGATACTGAGAATGCTGATTGGAGGATAAAATGCATTAGGTATTTACAACAACATAGTTAAATTTCAGATTTAAGATTACTGCAGAACAACATTAAATGGTTGCACAACAACATTAAATGATGAAGAGTCAAGCTGAAATAATCTAAAGGAAAAATGGAAACAGAGAAAAATAAAACTAGTCTATGAATACAAAATGTTATTGAATAAAAGAAACAGCTAAAGCATAGTGTAATGTAAGATACTTTCTATCATCTTCTAGTGCCTTGTTTAGACACTAAAAAAAAGATTTCTTTTGTAGACATGCTCAGCACCCAACTGACAAGATATAAGAAATTTGTTAACATGCTAATAGTGCTTCTATCCAAAATTCACTGCTTTTGAAAACCTTCAAATTCAGATAGTTTAAAATAATTTCTAATAATAATTTATGATAGACAGCTTTGAAGGTTTGTACTTTTATAATAACAACAAATTAATGCCTTTAATTATATTCCATAAAATCTGACTTCTTTAAACTCTGAAACATTAATGCATATACCAAATTTACTTGAAAGGGAAATTAATAGTACAGTTATTGTTTACAATTTTATGAGACTATTCATAATAAAGATGTTACTGAGTCTGAATCTAAGGGTTACTGTTGCAAAAAGAATGAATACTTGCATAAAATATTATCAGAGTTCACTGCTCATGAATATAAAAATTTTGAAAAAGCTTAATTATAAAAAAATGCTTTTTCCTAAAATATTCTCTTTAAACCTAACTTCTGCAGAGCAAAAATAAGCATCAAATCCTGGGTGATTTTGAAAAAAATCTTAAATATTTTAAAGTAACATTTTTACAAGAGCCTGTGTGTCTGTGTATGTTTTTAACTTGACAAAAAATTGAACAAATATTGGCAACGCCACCAAGGTTGGTTAAAATAAAGAAATTAAGAGATCACTTCTCTGATAGGATTGTTAGCAGGCATGAATGAACATCTTAGAGTAGCCTGCTAGAATGGTCCAGTAAAATGAGATCCAGTACAGCTACTTAGGATTATGCTTTTTCACCAAAATGAAGGAGAAACATTCAACCAAGCTTTACTAGGAAGGGTTGGCAGATAGACATCCCTCCTTTGCATACATTTTCATGAACTAAGTAGTTCAGTTTTCTCATTAAGTGATAGATATTTCTCCACACTTCCTTCTCTATGAGAACATATGAAAGATTTTGGTTTTGGTTAAATACAGAACAATTTTATAACCTAAAAAACTGCTGTGAAATGAAACTCTCAGGTCCTAGACTTTTACTGCTTAGTTTCATCTACTGCTGTTGGGTACTATGATTGCCTTGCGAAGTTTGCTCCTCATTTATGTAGATCTAAAATAATTTTCATTATGAAAATTAAAATAATTGAGGTTAGCACCCATAGGGCAGAAAAATACCTAGTACTTTAGAGTTCATCTAAGGATGAGGATTGGAATAATCAAAATTCCAGTAGACCACAGATCTGGGTTATATGAGGAATTTATTAACTATTGTGTGTACAATGTATTCAAGTTAATTCCTCATCTACATGAACTCTGATGGAAGAACTTCAGCATGATTGCTCTTCCTATGAGTACAAACAATTTGCACAGCAATTCAGGTCAAAATGCATCATATGTAGTTCTCATACCTGCAGAAAAAAATATGACACGGTCTTTAAACTCACAGATACAGTTTTATGTAAAAGCGTTTCTACACATGCTTTAGTTTGACCCATTGCTTTGCTTGTGTAAGATAAGTTTCAGGATACCAGGAAGAACTTATATGGTCTGCTTTGTTTTGGGTTTTCCTCCCCCAAACCTAGAAGAAGGGATTGCTAGTTAGATTTGAAGTAAAAGGAGTTGTAGGAATTTTTGTTTCCCCTTAAAGCTAAACTCTTATCTAGGTATATGATGTTACATTTAAAGCCTGATACATAAATTAGAATCAGAATCAGAATATACTGAATTGGAAAGTACCCATAAAGGATCATCAAAGTCCAAATCTTGGCCCTTCACAGGACACCCCAAGAATCACACCATGTGTAACTGAGAGCATTGTCTGAACAGTTCTTGAGCTCTGTCAGGCTTGGTGCTGTGTCCACTTCCCTGGGGCACTTCCAGTGCCCAACAAACCTCGAAGTTGCATGATGATCTCTTGGGTCCTGTCACTGGTCTCCAGTGAGAAGAGATCAGTGTCTGCCCTTCTATTCCTCATGAGAAAGTTGTAGGCTGGTGTGAGGTCTTCCCTTAGCCTCCTTTTCTCCAGACTAGGCAGGCTAAGAGACTTCAGCTGCTTCTTGTACAGCTTCCCCTCAATGCCCTTCACCATTTTCATAACCCTCCTTTGGATGTTTTTTAACAGCTTTATTGTTTGTTATATTGTGATTATTGACTAATTTGGCTATTATTCAATGTGTTTTCAGGACAGGTCTAGCTTCCAAAGTCCCCTGCATGTAAAGGGCAAGGGTACAGAAGTGCATTGGGACTGACACCATTACTCACTAAGCATCACTATGTCAGTGTAAAGTATATGGATACCAATTTTAGGATAACATAAGGACAGCATACTGGTACTCTATTCTATTCCAGACCTGCCAAAGCCCTTTGGCATGCTAATTCTACAAGTTTACAATTGGACCTGTTTGCAAAAGGCAGCTTCTTTCATGAGCTAATGACACAAGGTTGATGTCTAACTTCTGCTTACTCATCCAAGTTCCTAATTTTCTCAGGTTTCCCAGATCATAAAAAGCATGCAGATGAGACATAGCTTTAAACACATTTTTGGAAAAAAAGGACTTTTCAAGTTACTAATTAAGGAGGATAGAAGCAAAACCAAGAAAAATACTTTGTAAGGAGCCATGAAGCCCTATTTTCTTCATTCTTTAGGCAGGCTTTGGTGATCTGCTCCCTTACTTCTGTAAACCATGGACATATCTGAGGATGTTTTAAATTTTGGTGTAGGGTTATATTGAAGCATTCTGTTTGCAATTTGTATTCTGAAAGGTAAATATTTTCTTTCTTTGATAAGTCAGCATAAGAAGGTAAAGAGGATTAACTGGTATTGCTTTTCAAAATGCGTAAATACAATAGGGTAATTTGCATTAAAAAAATCATGCCCAAGTTATAAACTCAGCTGAACTGTGGCATCTGTTACCTGTGATTCTCCATGTTCATTTCTGAACTGTTACCATTTGGATTTCTCTTGCTTCAGGTTTTCTCTTGACTTCCTCTTTTTCACTACATGCTTACAACGAGGAATAGATAATTAAAATGAAAGGGGTTTATGTTTCTTAAATCTACAATATTATGTGTCTGACAAAAAAAAGATAAGATTTTGTATTTTTAATTTCATTTAAATAGGTGAAAATGGGAATTGTTGCAGACATCAGCCAATTAGGTAAATAATGAATGGTGTGAAAGAAGTTTCTTCAAACAAAGCAATATTCATATTTTCAGCAGTTATTTGAGAATAACAGAAAATGGAGCATAACTAACAGGAAATCAAGAGGCAGTGGATAATACCTCCTTTTAAAAATATGTCAAAAAATGTCAGTGACCTTATGAAAAATGCAGGTGTAAAATGAGGAAAAATAAACATAAAAGATAAAAACATAAAAAACTAGCAGTCAAATAAGAAAGTATTAAGAAAAGGGGAAAAATAAGGGCAACTAAACACACTCACTTATTAGCTTTGTTTTTAGTGTTGATATTTTTGAAAATATTCCGATTTTGTATCACTGTTATAATATTTGATGTGCAAAAAAGAAAGTAAAGGTGATATTAATGCCTTGAAAAATCATGGAACTTACTTTGAAAAGAAAATATTCAAGATCCTCTAAGTTTTAATTACATTCAAGACTGTCATAAAATTATGTTTGACCAACAGAGAGTGCAAAAATCACCAATGCTACTATCTTGAAAATCTGTGTATATCTGTAGGGAAATGTATAAATATATAGCAACTATTCAAGGTGGAGAAAATCTCTTTGCTATGAAATATTCTGCTCCATGTATAAAGCAACAGCTCAGGAATAGTTGTTCTGTAACTGTTACCTTTTTGGCAGGTTATGATTTTCTTCTGAAGCTGAAGGCACAAATCGTTGAGATGGTCAGCTTGCCAGTACTTAAGAAACACTTTTCGAACTCCTATCTAAATACCAAATACAAAAAGCAGAGAAAACATCAACAAAATGAAGCCAAAACAATGACAGGTAAATAGATGTTGCATGTTAACAATCCAGCAAAAGGTTGAAATAATATCTGCAATTTAGGAACAGTGAAATGCTAATTCTGTAACAGAAATGCAGTTATCACTTGGTTGAATAAAAGATGTATTTGTAAAGGATGAACAAGCTGTCAGACAGATAGTTCCACTTCAGTTCCAAAAATATCCAGAACAAATAGTACAATCTTCAATTTAAATACAAGCTGGGGGAAAAAGCATTCTGAGTCTAATGTGTTAGACAACATAATAGAAAATAAGGTTTAGGTCTTATAAAGTAGAAGGGGGTGTGCATGAGGAAAGGTGACAAGACAAACCCATGTAGAACAGAAAATGGTGAGATAGCTGCCATCTGTGGAACAGGAAGAACTTAACTGAAGTTGGAGGATGGGAGAAACTCACTGTCATTAGTGACAATGATTCCCAATATCCAGTAAAGTTATGAATCCTGGTTCCCAGCTTTGCTTACTGAAGCTATGCTTTGAGTCTCCTTTCAGGATCAAAGTCAGAGACAGGGACTCATTTGTGGAAAATAATCTCCTAAGTATTGATTCTGGTGTTGTGTAGTACCTTGGTTTAATCATCTAGTTCTTGAAGTAACAATCGTTAGATGCTCTCACTCCTTTAGTGCCAAATTTAACTAGTTAGACCAAAAGAAAACACCTTTCTTTTGATACCTTCTGAACAAGCTGAAACAGTCCTATAAAATTCCTTGTATCATCTTCAAAAGCATTCCTTTCTAATAGACTTTAAAAACCACAAACAACCTAGCAACTCCAAAACCGGCAAGTGGAAAAAAACCCAAACAATAAACCAATCATTTTTCTCAAGAGTTTTGTAGAAGTAACTTTCTTAATTTCATAGAAATAAATAGAACAGTGCCAGAAAACTGTGCTACCCTAGAAGATTCTAGCTTTTCCCTAACTATTAATTTTTTCATGGCTAATAGGCCTACTGATTAATTCATACAAGTCTGGCTAAAATTGCAGAAATTCATTCCAACTCTTGTTTGTCTCCAGCATAAAAGCTTACTCTCTTCTTATTGAGCCATCCTGCTCCACTGATGATTTTTACTTTAGATCCGGGAGATGCGTATGTGGAGGGTTAATTGCACACCCTTCCAAATTTTTTAATCCAAACACTGTTAGATTACATCCTTGTAGGGTTGGATGACAGAAAATCAGGATATATATTTCACAGCTAAACTCCATTAACTAAGTTCAGAAATTATTGTGGCAAAATTTTGTCCCTTGCCTTCCCTTCTCTCTATTGTAGAGAGCAACTATTTTGAATCAAATGTTTTAAAAAGTCTGTAATCCTGAAGTTTGAACTAACAATGATGGTGCAGTTGTTAGTCTTTTAATTAAAATCAGATGCACTGGCAAAATTAGAATGCTTCTCATTTTTTTTTTTCCATTAGTCTCTCTTTTCCCTTTAAAATAGTCCCTTTTTAATTATCAAAAAGTGTGTGGAAGTAGGTGACACAAAAGACATTTTACTTGTCTCGCCATTGTAGAAAGTCAGAAATAGGGAATAGGCTCTCTGTCTGGTGGTTAATCTGAGGCAATCTCCCTGAGATCCAATTGTGCAGTCACACGCTGCTCTTAGGGCCATGCTCTCATCTTCATTTTTCTGACTGACGACGTCTAACAAAATTTTTTTACTTTTCTTCCTCAGCTTTCAAAATTCTCTATTAATCTGGTTATCTTAACCCTTTGCTCACTGAGGTTTTCTTCCCATCCGTCTTGTTAAACCACATTCTGAACCTGCCTTATTACTAGTTTTGGCTACTAATATCTTCATTGTCTTGCTTACATTGCCTTAAATACAGATTTCTCTGTAAAAAATAACTGAATTATTATTCATATAGTTAACTGTAATTAAATTATCATGTGGTTATTATAATTACTGTTCCATCTGAGCAGCTCTCAGACAAAGCCCGAGAACAAATACTTAATAAAATTACATTCCCCTACACTGATTAAATTTTCTCTTTACACTTCACCTTTCGTTTCTAAAAATCCTCTGTATCAAACAGTTTTTTTCCTACTGTCTCAAGCCTATGCCAAATGTTCCAATTTTTCCTTATTTCTGTCCTTTGTCCTTAATTACACATAGTTCTGGCTTCTCCCCCTACTACAGCAATACTGATACTCAGACAGTAGAAAAGTGGATGAAAATTCCAGTTTCAAACATTTAAAAAGCTCTTATTAAGATCTTATTAAGCTTAAAAAAGCTCTAGTAATGCCCATGGCAAAATTAACAGCTCCATTCTCAATTAGTCTCATTGACACACGGGTTGGTCGCATTTAGGCTCTATTTCAAATGTGTAACTTAGCTAAACAATGAGTTGCAATTTATTGGGTAGTGTGCAGTCACAAAATCACAGTCAAGACAATTGCTGAAGATTATGTTGGTTTAGCTACAAGTATCTGACACTGCAGTCACAAAGCTATCTAGGGGACATGCAAAGCCTTATTTCTTTTTTCTCTCATCCTATACCCAAGGAAAAATATAAATGGAGTTATTGTGGCATTACTTATGCTATGAACTTCATTAGTAGGAGACTGCTACAATTTTTAAGTGAATGAAGAAATACAAAATGTCAATACAAATCCATTTTTACATTCAGATAAAAGCTATTTATAGATTTTTACATCATATGCCAAGTCTACAGAGAGAAGAGCTCTAGACAGAAGCATAAACTACTATTACATGTAGCAGAAACTACTATTACATGTTTGATTATGTTAGTACAGATAGAAATCTCTTTTGCTTAGTCTTTGAATTAAATCTGAGAGCCTCTAAGGTTGACCAAGAGAACAAGATAGTCTCACTGCCTTCTTTACAGTTCTGGTGCTCAGTGAAAGCAATAATGATGAAAAATGGAATTTCACATGTCACATATCAAAACAGTTTTTGAGGTTGCCACCTGTCTTCATTCTGGTCTCTTCTTTAATCATAAAATGTTTCCTGCTTGCCTAGGGAAAAAAAAAGTTCAAATATTCTTCCACTATAACACTCACTTTTCGATATTTTTTCTGGACTGCAAAGTGCTCTCAATCTGAGTCTGAAATTTTAATGTCATTCAGACTCCTGTATAGTAAACCATCTGTGAATTACAGTAATAGTTATTTTAATTAGGAAAGCATTAGGGTTTAAAATGTTATTTTTCAAAATGACACATTTTTAAAAAACTAAGTAAAATTGTCATTGATGACTACCAAAGCTTCAATCGTTGCTACAGGCTAGCTGTTTTTTTTTGTTTGGTTGGTTAGTTTCTTTGTTTGTTTTTGTTTTTGTTTTGTTTTTGTTTGTTTGTTTGGTTGGTTTTTTGAGGGAGTTGTTCTTTCTCTCTTGGTTTTTTTTTAATATTTTTTTTACTTTTTTGTTTTTTTATTTTTTATTTTTCAATTGTATAGAAAAGGTGTAGGATGTAGAAGTACAGACATTCAAAACTCTGGAATGGATGCTGAGATTGTGTGTAGGTGGCATGGAGGCAGTATTAGCTCATACTTAATAGGTGTCAAGGGAATCTGTAAAGCTGTTCTTTAGTTTAAAAAAGGCAATTTGTGGGAGTGCTGAGTGTTTCTGGCAGTACTTTCAAAATAGCTACCTACAAAAGACAGAGAACTATAGTCTAATGATATTTTACACAATGACACACATTTTCATAGAGCATTAATGAAATTTAGAAAAAAGCCTTAATACTATTGTAAAATGTGTCCTCTTGCAGTGTACATGTCTACAAAGATATTATAATGACAAACACAGGGCATTGATTTTTACGGACTGAAATTTTATTTTTAAAATTTAACTCTCTCTGATTTGCTTAATATATTTTAATAGTCCTTCTTTGTAAACTAGTGACATTGCACTGTGGTACATACTGAATAAACCTACATTTTAGCATACTTTATTTATGGCCTTAATATAAAATATGTGAGTAGTCTGATATACCAAACATTTATATAAATTCTTGTCAAGAGCTGGACTTTAGAGAGACAAACTGTCATTCAGGTCTCTGGGAAAGGGCAGAATAATGGTCACTCCTGTTCCCTAGACTGTACCAACCTCACAGCTCTTCATACTTCCAAGGCAACATGAAGAACTGTCTTACAGAAAAGGAAAGGAAGGAGTTAGGAAATCTAAGATGCATGTAAGAAACACTGAGTAGGTGAAACCCTACCCCAATTTATCTCATAGGATCTTGGTATTTTTCAGACATGTCATTCTAGTTTTCAGAATTCTAGAAAGCGACACAGCACCAAAATGTGGTGGTATATCCTCCTCCTCATGTCCTCCCCAGGCCTGCTCTATAATCTCCCTCCTAACCTGAGCCAAACCACTCATTCAGAACTCAGAAGAGACAATAGGAAAGGGTCTCTTGGTATGAATGAGAAATACAGGCAACAGGGGACAGGGAGAGCAGTGGCACAGTGAGGAAATCCTAAGGCAGGAGACTGGAAAACTAATCACAGACAAATAAGGGATGAAGACTGGTACCAAATATGAAGCAGAGTATCTAGGAAAGTGTCAATAGGTGGGAGAGGTGGGAGAGGAGAGAGGAAGAGGAAGACATGGTATCTAGATCTGAGATGCAAAAGATATCAAAAAGAAAATTGAGTTAGCATGATTAGTAATCCTAAGCAAAACCTGAAAGATGGACACAGAGAGGGAGGAATATATTCTAGAGGGGAAAAATATTTTTCATAGAAATATGAACTAAAAATAGAGCTTTATGTTAAAAGAGTGAGAGCTTATGTGCATTCTGAGGTCAAAGTCAACCATCCATCCTATTCCCTGGCTGAAGGGAAGCATGGGTTTGTCAAGTGTGGCACAAAGTCACTGAGTGAGCTTGTGGGCAGTGTCTGGCCCAGGTCAATCTTTTGGTAGTACTGGTGAGGTAGAAAGTCACTCCCTGGTGG